GGCGTACGTGTCGCTCCCTATGTGCGGCAGGATCACTGCGGGGACAGGAGGGTTACCTGCTCGTTTCTTATCTTTCCTGACCTCTCACGGCCTCTCAGGGGTCTTGGGGGCCAACCCGGCTGCTGCACCAGCTGCTGCTCCTCTAGGAGCTCACATCAGATGTGGAGCATGGAACAAAATCATCAGCTGCTGAGGACTAGAAGAGACCTCGGATAAACGGGTAACATTTCTCAGTCCTCCAGGCCAAAGGTGGTCAGCCAAGAGTGGGTTCTCCTTCCCGTGTTCAGCCTTGGTGCTCACTTTCCTGCAGGGACTCAAGGTGGTAGGTGTCAGGTGCTCTCCCAGCAGCAGGTGGACAGGCTGCTGCCCAGCTGGCACGCAGCTTTGGGAGGCTCTGTCCCCAGCACGCAGGAACCAGCAAGTATCAGGGCAGGAGCCTGCAGAGTGTGCCAGAACATCACGGGCTTACAGACCCTGGTGCACTGGAGAGCAAGTGTGGAGGCAAATGGCCCCGGTCACACAGAGCTGACACACTGCTCCACAGCAGGGCAGGGGTTTTATCCACCTATGGGAAAAGGCTCCTTTCATGCAATGCAAAGGAACAAGCCAGAGCTGCTTTACCTGCCCCAGGTGTGCACAAAAGCCTAGGCCACAGTCTGTTTTACAACAGAGAGCACCCCCAGGAAACACCAAGCCTGAACCCCAACACACTGCTGCTCTGGAGAGACGGGTCTCCCCAGAAGGACTGAGGGCACACAAGTCCCTTCTCCCCAAGCTAAGATTCAGCCTGGGTTCCTTGTTTGCTGTGAAAGTCATGTCAACACTTCTTCCTCCTTTACTTATGTCATGTTCCTCCAGGTGCTGAAACTATTTTGCAGTTTAGGTGAAATCTATTAATAGTTTCAGGATCATCAAAGCCTCATTTCTGTGAAAATAAATACGTAAGTATTCATTTTTGTCTTGGCGTTGTTCCAGAGCTTTAAGATCCCTTAGGTCCTGCAAATACTTCCAGAAAGTCTCTGCTTTTATAATTTCTCACACTGTCTACTATGAGAACGAAAGCAAATAAAGAAGTTTTAGCAAAAAGAAAATAAAACGAACAGCTATGAATTTGTATTTCAGAAATGGACGGCTAATTGTGGGCAGTTCCAAATTTTCACGCATGTCTCTATGATTTCCTTTTGGAACAGACATTTCCCCCCTGGAGTGAAGACATCCTGCTGCTACAGGCAGCTCAGGTACTTGGCTGTGCAAGGTGCACCCATCGGCTCTCACCCTTGGGGTGCAGCTTGAGCAGCCAGGGTGCTCAGCACTGTGAGAAGCTTGTGCTGCCAGCTCTGAGC